TAAGATTTAAGGCCTCTATTAGTGTTTCTAGGTGTTCTTTTTCGATATCGCCAAAAATTAGTATTTCATCAAAATAAACTCTAATATTTGATATATGCTTTAACCTCTCACTTAATCTGTTTAAAAATATTTCTACAGATGCATTAATACCAAATGGTACTCTATTGTAAACATATACTCCCATGTGTGTGCTAATTGCTGTCAACTCCCTTGATTTTGAATCTAGTGACAGTTGAAGGTATGCTTGATTCAAGTCTATAATGGAAAATCTACCTTTAGTTTAAATACCTACTAATAGTTCTTCAATTTGTGGCACAATTGCTCCTTCTAGTTTTAAGAATGGGTTTAAAGTTACTTTGTAATCACCAAAAATTCGAATATCTCCTGAAGGTTTAATAATTGGAACTATGGGTGTCCCCCACATGCTATATTTTACTTTGCTTGCTATACCATCTTTCTCTAATTTGTTTAACTCTGCTTCTACCATAAATTTTAATACAAGTGGTATTGTTCTGGTTTAAAAAAATTTGGGTTTTGCACTATCTACTAATACTAGCTCAATTTCTTCACCTTTATATAATTCTAATTCATTACTAAATACTTCAGGAAATTTTTCTACAATTGCATTATCTATATTGTTTAAATCTATATTTAATAATGTTTTCCTAATTGAGTTGTTAATGCATAAATCTGATAATGTACCCATTTCTTTTAACCATTCTCTACCTAACAACATAGGTCCTTGTCCTTTGAGAACATACCATTTCCCTTTGAATTTTTTATTTTCATATTTAATATTTACTTGTATGTGTCCTAATGTATCTATTGTTTCATTTGTATAATATTGTAATTTTAACCCATCTGTCTCCAATTTAATTTCTCCAAACTTTTTCCTATATTCATGCTCTGATATAATTGAAACTGATGTTCCAGTATCTAATTCCATACTAACTATTTTCCCTTCAATTTCCTTTTCAATTTTTATTGGTTCCACTCTATTAATTTGTTGAACATTCTCCTTCAAATGAAATAATTTATTAAAAATTTTTGCTAATTCATCATCAATCATATCACTTTTATCGCTTTTTTCTTTAACATAGTATTTAATACCGTATTTAATATTTATTAAAATAATAATTATACATATCATAAAAAATAATGTCAATGCTAATTAAAGGTACATATTATACAAACAAATTTAGTAATGATAAGAAAATAATAGAATTATATTCAATTATTTACTTCCAAAATTCATAGAATTAATTTTTGCAGATTTAGTTTTATAGGTTTTTTGAAAAATACAGCTTACTGGGTGATTTTATAGCAAAAACCCTGGTATAAAAGTTGTAGAGAACAATATTTTGGATACAATGACATTGTTTTTTTTAATACGTCCAGTACTTAACAAGCAATCAACAACGCAAAAACCTATTTTTTAAAATTTTTAAATGCCTGTAACTTTTTTGCAAATTACAAATTAAAAAAAATACTATGTCATCGTCTCCAAAATATTGTTAGCTACAAATTTTATAATAAGGTGTTTTGCTATAAAACCACCCAGTAATCGGTATTATTGAAACACATGAACACGTTTTTATGCTATGATTTTCGTTAGTGCGGCATCCTCTTAAGTTACTTTGATATAAAAAGTAAATGAGTTAGTATATAAGTTAGTTTCTGAAATTTACCATATTTTTAACTTAATTAGATAGAAGTTAGTTTTGCCGGGGTGGATGCCATAGTTTATATTGAATTCAGTATTCAAACGATTCTGAATTTCTGTTATGTAGCTAAGTTATTGGTTTTAAAACAATTGTGTTTTATTTGTATTTGGCATCAGATGATATGTGTTTAATTTCTTTCTTGGATCGTTCTGCTAGTACCTCAGAAAATAAAGAAATTAAGCCGACAAATAAAGTCATTCCAGTTGTTTGCACAGATAATTTAACAGGTAAATATCAAAAATAATTAAATTCAAAGATACAAGTCATTGGTTGCTCAATTTAAGTATTTAAAATAATTAACTAACTTATTTTTCAATAGGGGGGCAAAAAGTGTAAATGAAGTTTGCTAAAAGCGATAAATGTTGGAAAAAGAATAGATCTAACACAAAGAAAAGGCCGTTTTATGACGCTCTTAAGGAAGATAAAAAGAATAATTCTTTGTTGATACATAGAAATATTGCTTTTAAAACCAGAATGATGCATGCTGAGAAATATATGGAAGACAAAAAGCAGTCTTAAAAGAAATTAAATGATATAACTTGCAACTTTATTGAGTCACAAATTAGAATCCAACACGGGAAAACGGTTTTCATTAGATGATAAAGTATTTGCGTTATCCTTGTTCAAGGAAAGTAGTAAAGCCTACAGATTATTACAAAAAGTATTTGCTCTCCCGTCAAGAAGCTCTTTAATGAAACTTTTGAAAAAAAATCCATTTCAACCAGGAATAAATAAAAAAAATTTCCAACCTCTTAAAATTACGGTGCAAAGAATAAAAAATCCTTTTGATAAATATTGTACGATTTTGTTTGACAAAATATCATTATCTGCTGCTCCACAATATATTTCAACTTTGATAAAGTTGTAGGTTTTGAAGACCTTGGTGAAGGTAAAAAAAATTTAAGCAGCCAGTGGCTTTTATGTTCACTAACAGCTCTATGAAAACTCCAAATTTAGTTAATGCTATTAAGGAAGTTGCTGAGGCAGTTCAGTCAACCGGGCTTAAAGTTATTGCTCTTATATGTGACCAAGCAAGCACTAACGTGGCAGCTATAAATAAACTAAAAGCGGAAACTAATGCCAAATACTTAAGAAAGTCTCATAAGGAATAAAGACATTTTGGATATGAATTGGGTGTCAAGAAATTGTGCCGTTATTTGATCCACCTCAAATTTTAATAGCTTTTAATAACTTTTTGATAGTGTCAATGGCAACACAATTTTACCACCAGCTGGAAAAAATTCGAGATGTGCAGTGACCAAAACATCTGCACACTGGGACTTCTGGAACCAGGCCCTAAGAACACTTGAAACAATGAACTTTGATTGTAAGAACAATAAAGTTGTTTCCATAAAAAATTGTATTGAAATAATCAAAGGAGTCAAATATCTATGTAAGAAGTTATTAACAAATGGATTTGAATTTGTAATTTTAAGGAATTTTAATCAAGATCCTATAGAAAACTTTTTTTGCTGCAATTAGAAGCCATAGCTTAAGAAATGTTAATCCATCATGCTGTAGTTTTATCTCTTCATTTAAGTCTTTATTAATATCAAATTTAACAACTACCCATTCAGTAGGGTCAAACTTTGTGATGGACGATTGTTATGGAGTTTTGGATAGTCTTAAAGATTTATTGGAGTTAGATAACCACGAGATAAGTGATACAGAAGATAATATATTACAAAACAATAAATCTAGCAATTTAACAAAATCAATGACAATAAAACACCAATTATTTATACTTCAGAACTTCAGAAAAATACTAGGTCATATGTAACAGGGTGGATAATCAAAAATATTAAGCCACTTTTAAATAATTGTAAATTATGCCTTTATAAACTAATATCTGATGTATTTCTCGGTGAACATAATTTTATAAAATCTTGTGAATATGAAAAATGTAAATTTAACTATCCTAAAACAGAAACGTCTAATTTATATGGAATTATAATATTATAATACATTTGTTCAATTCAAATATAACAGATATAATTGGTATGTCAATGTCAAATGTAAAAAAAGAAATAATTTTAATCCTCAAACAATTTTTTAACACTGAAGCATTACAATGTCCAAAGCACGATTTAGTTCATATATTTTTTAAAACATCTGTTCAGTTATTAATTTTTTCATTCATTAAAGAAATAAATAACATTTTAAAAATTTTTGAAAGGAAACAAACAAACACAAATAATAATATTAAAATCGCTGCTTTAAAATACAATAAAACCTATAAAACTAAATCTGCAAAAATTAATTCTATGAAATTTGGAAGTAAATTATTGAATATAATTCTATTATATTCTTATCATTACTAAATTTGTTTGTATAATATGTACCTATAATTAATATTGACATTATTTTTTATGATATGTATAATTATTATTTTAATAAATATTATTTATGTTGCACCTGTAGGTAACTACAATCAGAATTTGTATAACATACCTAAATATATGAATATAATAAAATGTTTATTTTTTACAATTAATTGTGTCATATTGTATAATATTTTATAAGTATAAATAAAGGAATACATACAATATTTTGATTTATGATATTTTAGTTATTTTTATTTAAAAAAAAACAGAAATATGAACAATAGGTAAATCGAATATTTAGCAATAATCTATAAATCGATAATCGTTTAACTATTAATCGATTTTATCGATTGTTAGGTGTGATTATAGTAGACAACCACCGGCAGCAGTAGTGTCGGTATTTCAGTATGATTGCAGTGAGACAGTGAGTGGTCTTTTTATTTATCTCTTTTCTATGAGTTCACCTGACTCTCGTCGCTTTGTCGGACGTTCGTCGGCGGCTCAGTTTCATGCGCGAAAGCGGACAAGGTTTAGTGATGGACGCTACTGAATAATTTGTATTATCGGATATTATTCGATTATTCATATAGACTATCGAATAATTATTTAAATAATATAATATAAGGATGAATAATCATTCGAATAATATAATACATAACTAAATAATTAAAACTATTGAATAATCGATATATGATTCAATAACTATTCGAATATTAAGGCGAGTTTACACTATATGCGTGTGCAGTGTACCTACACGAAAAATGTTCAGTTACAGGGAAATTACTAATTAGTTAGCTATTAAAAGTGCTGTTTTAATTTTGTCACTAAAAATTAAAAACCGAAAGGGGACTAAAAAGTACCAGAGAATGATATTATTATGTTACTATATTAGTACAGTAGAACTCCGATTATCCGGACTAATTAATGTTAAGGGTGGTCCGGATAATCAAATATCCAGATGATTGACGTATGATATATCAAAAGTTATATAATTGTACGTATGTATTTATTATTCATATATAATATGTAATATAATTTAAAATTCGTAACCATAAACAAATGATTTTATTATATATTTAACTGAAACAAAATAATCCTTATATTAATTGCTGGTGTTCGATTCTTCTTGCCTCTCAAACCATTTAAACGCCAAGTCCAATGCACCAAAAGCTTCAGAATTTTTAATGTACCTACGTCGGAATGACGGATATTATTAAGAATAATATATAATATCTATTCTTTATCTAATCTAAAAACGACTACGAGATACACCTGGTATGAATAACGGCACTCACCTTTTTTTTTCTCGTCCGGTTAATTGGACGTCCGGATGATTGGCGTTCGGATAATCGGAGTTCTACTGTATATTACTAAAGATGGGAATAATAAATAAGATAATAACTATTAAGAATATAAAGATTAAAGAGTGACAACAAAAAGTTTCTAATTTTAGTTGCTGAATTTGCTATATTATATTCGAAAATAAAAAATTGAGTATAATAATATATTGTCATTGTGCATAAAATAGTTCGTTCATTCATTCATTCATTCGAATAATAACTAATTATTTATTCGTTTAATAAATCGGATAATCGTAAATGATTATTTAAATAACCAATTTGGCTGTCAAGACTATCGAATAATTCGATAGTTCTTTGGTAACGCCAATCACTAGTAAGGTTATTCTGAATAGAGTTAAGAATTATTTAGAAATTACAACTCCAATTAAAAAAAGGGCATTAACTTTTCCTTTTTCCTCCTTTCAAAGAAGAGAAAACTGCTCGATCTTGTTAAAAATATGCTTCAACGATTGAAAGCAAAAAAACAGATGTTAGCTCAAATAAATTAAAAGCAGCCTCCTATGAGAAATTACCAATGGAATTTAACAGCGTTTGAGGTGAACGTTATTGACAACTCTTTGGAGTAAGTATGAAAACGTATAAAAATGTGGTAAAAAAAAAGTTTTCTGATGATAAATCATACCCACTTGGAAATGGTGGGGGCCTGAAAAAACACCTCTT